AATTATTATTATTATTTGGTACCAGGGATTGAACCCAGAGGCACATCCCCAGCCCATTTTTTTATTTTGAGACAGGGTCTAGCTAAATTGCTGAGGCTGGCCTTGAACTGGGATTACAGGTGTGCACCGCTGCACGGGACAGGAAGCATTTTATCAAATTCTGCTTGTGTTTCTCTTCTCTGCAATATGTTGGATGAGCCTTATTATCAGTGACCGATTGGTCCCTGCTGTGCTGGGGGATCTGAGGAACTTGCACTAGCTTCATAGGAAAAATCAAGGTGAGAATTGGGTCCTCCCCTTGAGACCTGTTTTGGTGTCATTGTGCCCAGAGCACAATGGCAACTGTGTGGAGCCGGGCAGTGAGCTGACAGGGTCATTGGCCACAGGGATGGATGGTGGAGGGTGATGGAGACATCAAACTTGAGCAAGGGAATCCATGCATCTGGAAAACTCCCCGCGGTGTCTGAGGGCCCTTGAGAGGGACTGGTTTCTAGAAATCAAAACAATCAGGGGCTTGCTCTATTACCACTTAGTAACAGGACTTGGGTGTGGTGGTCTTGGGACACGTCTTGGGCTTCTAACATCGGTGCATGGCTGCGAGTCCTCCTTTCCTACTGGCTTGGAAGATGTAACCATTTTGCATCAGCAAGTGCAATTCCCAGAGCATTCCTTAGTCTGGGCAGCTGTGCCTCTTTTTCTTCACAAGGAGGTGCCCAGCAAATGAGTAATTGACAGTTCATGTGAGTTAGGCAATAAAAGAGATGTGTTAAGAAATAGATGAATTTGAGAGGCGTGGTCAGGAAAGTCCATATGTCCATGGAAGAAATGATGCTCTGGGTTTGAAAGAATAAATAGGCTATCAGTGACCAACAATGTGGGGAGAAGGTCAATGCAGAGTTGTAGACATGAGCAAGAGTAGTTTGGCATCATAGCAAACATATAAAATTACAGTGCATATAATATCAATAATCAGAAAATATATAAACATACGTAATACATGTATTTGGAGATTCATTATGGTAAATTAGATCAGGAGGTTATGGAGCCTGATAAATCTGTGGAGGTGACATCTACGACCTGCAGGCTGGAGCACCAGGAAAGCTGGTGGTGTGATTCAGTTTAAGCCTGAAGGAGCCTGATGTATCCTGATTCTCAAGCAGGAGAAGATGACATAAGGTATTCCAGCTCAAGCAGTGGTGGAGGGAAAAAAAGGGCAAATTCCTCCTTCTCCCACATTTTGTTCTCTTCAGGTCTTCCACAGACTGGATAATAGCCAACTGCTTTGTGGGAGAGCAATCTACTTCAATGTCTTCACAGATTCAAACGCTTAGCTTATCCCCTGGAGGACACAGCCAGAAACAATGCTTAGTCTGGGCACCCTGTGGCCCAGGCAAGTTGACACATAAGAGCAACCATCAATGGTGCTTCCTTTATCTCCCGTATGCGTAACTGGCTGTGCAGCATTCATTCACCATAAGCACTGTGAGCTGTTCAGAGCCCTGTGATGACCTTTCCCAGCATAACTCTGTTCCTGCCTGATGTCCACCAGAGACCTGCTGGTGCTCTTCTTTATCCCCATGTCACTTAAAGGACTAACTACACTCAAGGTGGAAGACTCAGAATGATCCTGAACTAGCTCCTTTCCCCATCTTTCCACAACCAGCTACTAACAGTCTTTATTACTCTGAGTCAAAAAATGTCTTTAAAATTTATCCACCCCTTTCCCCACAGCTATATTTGATCTGGGTTGTTATGATAGCCTTCAAAACAGATTCTCAACCTTAACTGTGCCCTTCACACCATTCCATCCTCAACATAGCTGCCTGTCCTTTGGGTTACCAGTTTGAAGTGTCTCCTTAGCCCACATGGGGGCCTGGGCTGATCAAAAAGGACAGATTCCAGTGTGGCCCACCGAAGGATCCTGGTTCCGTGTGGTGGCCATGTTGGAGTTGTGGGTGGAGGTGAAGTGGTGGCTCACACTTAGTTCATACAATAAGACCTCTGCTGCGGGGAGCAAATGGTCCAGGCTCGGAGCCTGCTCATCACCAGGGCCAGCTGACCTCCCATGAGAAGCAATGGACATCATGACCAGAGAAGCTCTGAGCCTGGCAACCCCGCCTTTCCTGCCATTGGAAGTGTGTCCTTGGTGTTCTCACCAGTGAGCTCATCTCACTGGCTCTTGGCCTCCTTGGATCATGGACTACCCAGACTGATACGGTGCTCTATGGGTCTTGGCATAAACAGTGTTGTCTGGGTTTTGAAAGTGTCCTCTCTGAGGTTGATCGGATGAAATTATGAATTCACATAAACTCTGCACATCAATAGGAAATAACAGAATGAATGTCCTAAAGTGAAGGGAAAGGCAGGTTATCAGGGTGGTGAGAAATTCCACTACTGTTTAACATGGAAACCACCAGGCGAAGAATGCTGGCAGAGATGGGCACTTCACACCCTGCTCCTGCATAGGCGCTAGCGACACGCCAAGTCGATTTTGGTCTATTTTAAGTTCCCATCATCAAAACCAGTGTGATCTCACTCCTCTGTTTCTCAGCTCTCTTTACTCACTGAAGTCCAAATTCCTCCCGCTCAGAGGAGACATCCTGTGCTCTGACTCCCCTGGGGGTTACTGCTGCCTCTGGGCTGTCACAGACGTCACAGAAATGGGCCACTGGGAATTTTATCTACAATTCATTCTCATTGTTTGTGGATTCCATATTTGTGAATTCCCTCCTCACTGAGGTTTATTTGTAATCTCACAATCAATACCGGGTCATGTGGTCATTTGTGGACATTCACAGAGTGTAAAAACGTTGAAGTCATCAGGGTTCACATTCCCAGCTGAGGGTGAGCCGCTTGACGACCTGCCTTCTTGTTTCAAGTCTCATCCTATGTGTCCTTTCCATACTTTATTTAGTGTCATGCTTTTCCCATTTATTGATTTTTTTTCCCTTTTGAATGTGATTTCATTGTTTAAAATGGCTGAAGTGCTGTCTGGGGGGTCCTAAGTGCAAGGAGGCTGGAATGTGCCTCACAGGGAAAATCCGTGTGTTCGATGAGCTTTGTTCAGACCAGAGTTAGCCATGAATTCAGCTGTTGGCCATGAATTCAGTGTTAACAACCAACAACATGGCACACAGAACAAGGAAGGAAGAGCAGGTAAGGCTGCTCCAAATCTACAGAAGTGATGTTTATGGTGGGTGATGGAGTGATGGAAAAGCAGCCAAAATTGTGGATTCTGAGATGACAAAACTGGTTTCAAGCAGTGTAGTCAAAAGAGCATTGTTGAGAGGCTGAAAACCCAAGATATTTATGGTCGCATTAAGCAAGGTTAGGAAAACATTAAACCCTTCTTGGCCAGGATTGTATTATAAAGAAATACTGTGGATAATTAATTTTAAGTGTGTGTGTGTGTGTGTGTGTGTGTGTCTTTATATAGAAACACAAAGAAACAAGGTTTAGCATCGATGGTCTGACAAAAGCCTCGTGATCAGAGGCTCACTGGGACCTCGCTCTGTATTTCCCTCAGGTTTACTAGGTTTACTAGGCATTAAAGTCGGTTTTGTAGAAACCTTATAGACAGAACTACCACGAATAAAGAGAATCACCTTGGTCTCACTGTTCCCTCTTCATACCATGTCTCCTTTGAATCAGCACCCCTGCCTGCTGTGTCCTGCTCCTGCTGATTGGGTGATGAATGAGGAAGTGTATCCTGTGGGTCATCTGGCTCCAGAGGGACAGTGATGGAATTCTGAGTCGACTTGGCTGTGCACAAGGAGGATGTGGCTAGGAATCACTGAGGTGGCCTGAGGTTATCAGGGGTAATCAGGGTGGAAGTATACACTGTTTTTGAGAAAATCGACAAGGATGTAGACTGCTTAAGAGGTGTCACAGGTTGTACATGATCAGTTGTTAGTTATTAACACTTCATGGCTTTGCACTGGTACAAGGCTGCAATGGCAGGTTATTATTCTTTTTTGCTCCTGTGATGTCAATATATTTTGACTTGGCTTTTGTGACACTTCACCTAGCTAGGGTCTATTCTATTGCTTTACCCCATCCTCCCTGGAAGTCAGTCACATGGCTGTTCATTCCATGACCAAATATCAAAAGACAGAAGTAGAAATTTTACACTTAAGAATCACACAAAGAATGTTTAGAATCAAGTTTGAATTCATATGATCCCTGCTCCCAGGAAGACATTTGTACTACTACATTCTCTTCTTTCACATAGAAGAGGAACAGGGGACATGGAATTCCTCCTTTGCTTACGAAAGCAAAACTTTGAAGTAACGGAGAAGGCATATGAGATGAGTGAAGAGCAGAGACAGAAAAATTTTTATGGGGCCATGTGGTCTTTGGGGCTGCTGTGGCTTTTGAACCTATGGCTGAGACTGTTTGGGGTGCCTGTTGGCCAAGGGTTATCTTTGTTGTTTTTTAGAAGTAAAATCTACAGGGCACAAGTTCAAGAATGCAAGGACGGAACTCAGAGCCATTTGTGGCTATTCTTCATGGCCTAGTGGGTGCAGTTTCCATCATTTTATAAAGTCTTTACTCAACAAAAGTAAAATGTAGTAAAGAGTTCGCTAAATACTTGAAAAAAACACCATCGGTATGTTTTATAACTTCCAGATTCTCTATGTCGATACCTGTATGTGTGTGTGTGTGATAACCCTACCCATCACTTTAACGCCTCCAACCCAGGTTAGGCAGTGTCTAACCTGCTAGTGAATGTCTGCTGATAACAACATCCTTCCATTTGGAGACGAGACTGACCACAGACAACACCAAGAGTCAAGTTCACGGCACACCCTTTGGGAGAAATCCTCCTTCCGGAGCAGGTTTTTCACTTTTAGAATGAAGCATGAAAATCAACATGTATTTTATCGAAAATAGGAAATATTTAATGTATATAAATTTATTTGCTTTGGCAATTATTTATTTACAGTTGATGATTGATACCAACAATTGAGGTAAAAATATACATGAGGTATAAATAAATATTTAAATGCAATATTATATTTTATTTCCATTGGCAAGAAAAAGATGAATAAAATACTGTAGTATCTGACAAACAAGCTTGATGCAGTCTCTTTTCATCCCCCCCCTGCCCTTTTCCTCTATTGTAAAGATGCACCATGTTATTATTACAGGGGTGATGTGATTAGTATGTGCATAAAAACTAAAAGACAAGTAATTGGGTGGGGGGAAGTCAGAAGTACAATCATATTTGTTTTTATTATGTTTTCAGTATTCTCTAAGTCTTTTTTCTTCAAAGTGTGTCCCTGGGGCTCCAAGCATGGAATCTCTGAGGCTCATTACAAATGCAGAATGTCCGGCCCACCCCTGACTGCCTGAGTCAGAGCGTGCATTTTAATAAGATCCCCAGGTGATTCCTGTGTAGGTTAGAGTTAAAGTAATACTGCCCTGTGCGATATGATGCCATTCATCCTGGTGTGCCTATTCTATTTTCCAAACACACAGTGTCCTACCTCTGGAGCAGGACCAGTGTTTAGCTAGATTAAACTTCATTAATGATCTTGTCGATGCATAGAAAGTAATCTGGGATATATGATTAAATTTAAGATGTCATGGCAGAAGCATATTTGTCTTGCTCACAGAGAACTGCCCAAATGGTAAATCATGGGCTTGCTGCCACCATCTTAAGTAGACATGGGAATGAAAAATTCCTAGCATGATTTTCCTTGCACCATACCAAATGCAGAGCTTTTTTATTCCTCTCAATAAGACAATTGCACATCTTTTATAAGAGAAAACATCACATAAATGCTTATAATACAAAAACCCTGAAAACAGTCATTTTTTCCCCTCCAATATCAGTTGCTAAATCATATCCGTCTCTGTCATAGACAACCACAGAAAATCTCTCCTTTAAACCAAGCACAATAAGTTATTTTTACGACTAGAGTTGTATTACAATAATTAAAAAAAGCCAACTTAAACCCATTTGAAAATGGTTAAGAAAAAGTTAATTTGTTTAGTCTGTACAATAATAAATAAGGTGGGGTCATATGCATAGGCAGCTTGAATTGGCTAATGAAGAAAACTAGAATTAATATATCTGCTTATATTTTCTAAAACTAATTAAAATATAGTTTTGGTCTTATGTTAGTTAAAACCCTGTTTTTCAAATTGCAAGACTTTAATGAATTATATTTTAAGAATATCACATATAGCAAAATATAAATTCCCTGAAGCTGTGACTATCCAGGACTCTTGAGTGACCGTCATCTCCCTTTGTCTGATGTCCAGAGTAAATTCAGTGCAATACATTGGTAATGAAATGCCAATTAACTATGGCCACATAGGCCACTGGTCAAATAGAAGAACATTTAATTACATTATGGAAAACCTCTATGAAAACTCGAGACAACGCAGAGTCTCTCTCTGTGAATATGAAAAGGTATGACATGATATTCAGCCCTTTTTTGGGGTGGGGGTAGCATACTGGTTTTGATTTGGTCATTGGTGTCCATCTGACATTGCACTGAATGAAACTGCCAGAAGCTACTTGAAATCTAGACTTTGGCAATAACTTCTCACCCACTGCTTTGCTTTGAAGAGGAGTAAGGATTCCTTCTCGTGCTTTCTCCCAGCACTCCACTCTCGGGTTTTTGAACAACAGAAACAAATTGGCAAAATGCTTGAGAACCCTTTCAATGCTATTTTCCTTTGGTTAGCTAATCTTTGGCTAGACATCAAGTAAAGCTGACAGATGATAAATTTTCACACCTTGGTGTTAGCAGCGGGCTCTGCTTAGATTAAGGGCCAGTAGGGAGTGGGGCCAGGGAAACTTGGGAAGAGCTGTGTGAGGAAGGGACTCACGGAGTCAGACAATTCTATATAAAATCAATATTTTACAGTTATATACAGAGAGATAGAGATATACACATATATGTACAAATGCTACATGTACATTTATTTACAGTTAAGAATATGCTTCTTAGAAGCTTTTAAATAGCAAATTAGGCAATGCATAAGGACTAATCCATTTCATTTTAAGTAGCATAGATACATGTTCTGATTTTTTAAAAAATATTATATTAGTAGGGATGTAGCCGTCTCCAGGAAGGCTGAAAAAGTTCTCAGAAAATTCTTGCATCTTCAACATTCCAACTTCGCAGTGTTTCCATTTTTAACGATCAACCACGTTCACCAGCGCCTCTCTCCTGCTCGCTTTCTCACGCTCACACTCTGCCACAAATGTCCGTTTTAGCTTCCTGTTCCCTGAGTTTGATGTCACACTGGGGACAACTCAGATTTTAGTTTCTGGACCCTCAGCAAGGAGGGGCTGAAAAGAGTTTCGAATCCTGGCAACTTCTGCTGCACAGAGGTGTCCAAAGCCTTTGTTGTACCATTCTGGAGAGTGACCTCTGCAGGGAGAGAAACGAGAAAGGGAGTCGGGATGTCTTCTTCCAAATCACAGCAGTCAGTACGGTAGGCAGGGCTGTCCTCGGGCTCCGGTCACCAGGACACGTGCAACAACCTAGGGCTGCTGCCTTGAGGATCTGAGGACCCCATTCTGCCAGCAGCTGCTTATAAATTACACCAACTCCTTGGGCTAAACCAGGAAGATTCACACTGAATCTAGAATTTACTCAGAAAACTAAATTTATATCTACCTCCACCAAGAACTTAGCTCAGTATGCTGGGTTCCCTGAAGGGATTGAATTTAAGTTTGTTTTTTTTTTCCCTCAAAAAACAAAACAACAACAACAACAACAACAAAACAAAACCAAATGAAGGGAATAGCAACATTTGGATTTAACCTAAGTGTCCACTGGTGAATGAATGGATAAGGAATATGTGGCCTACACATACAATGGAATACTACTCAGTCTTCAAAAAGAAAGGGATTTGGTCATTTGTGACGATGTGGAGGAACTTGGAGGACATTACGCTAAGTGAAATATGCCAGGCACAGAATGACAAATACTGCATATTCTCACTATTATGTAGAATCTAAAATGTGGAACTCATGGAAGTAGGGTAGAATGGTGGGTACCAGAGGCTTGGGGTAAGGTAGGGGCTGGGAGATGGATGTTGATCAAAGGAGACAAACTTTCCATTTTAGATGGGGCAACAAGTTCAAGAGACCAACATGCTGGCTACCAGGAATAACAATGTCTTGTATTCTCAAAAACTGCCAGGAGAGTAGTGTTCTCATCATAGACAATAAGAACATGAGGAAATAGATATGTGAATAGCTTGCTTTAGTGATTCAGCAATGCATGCAGACACAAAAATATCATGCTGCACACTAAATATACATAATTTTTGCTTGTTAATTTAAAGTAAGTCAATACATAAATTAGAAACAATAAAAAAAGAGCAAAGGACAGGAGGAGAAATGTTAGAATTTTAGGAAGTAGAGGAGGAATATGCAATCATCTGTAGAAGTCTGTTAATGGGAATGAGGAAAAGAAGTAGTGAAATTAGAAATCACAACAAGGCCCTGGTGAATGAGCCGTGTGTAAAGAATGCTCCCGAGACCCGTGCCTGCCATCCTCAGGAGCTGCCACTTACTTCAGGTCTATTCTGCAGATGTGGGTCAGTCTGGACTTGCCAGAACCACATGGTTCTATTAAGTACTGAGAATCCATCACCACAGCCCGCACACCACCCATGAGTGGGGCTTCTTCGTGCTCCACAGAGAGGGACACCAGGGTGCACATTCCTTTGGGCAAATCAGTCTTCCAGGTCCTGGAGCGAAACAAGCAACACATCAGTTACAGTTAAGAGAGAAAGAGAAACCTGAACACAGAGCTAAGGTTCACACTTAGATTCTCCTGCCAAAAACATGGGCTCAAATTCCAATGTTAGTTTCTTGGATTAAGCTAATGGTTTCCATAAGCTTCAGCTCTCAGACTCAGAGGCTCTCAGACCTGCACTGGGAACCCCAAACTGAGGCCCTGTCCTGGTAGGGGAGTTCCTGCCCATTAATGAAGAGATGACTGTAGGGTTTAGGACTCCCTCAATTCTTCCATTCATCTGCAGAGACATCCGTGTGCTGGGCCCTGAGAAGCCACAGGGACACAAAGACACACATGGCAGGAGGAGACACCGACGATTCTAAAACACCCTGGTGAGGGCACTGATGCTGCTCTGCACAGAGGGCTCTGGGATGACGCAGAGGGTCAGAGGAGGCAACTGGGGAGGCTTCCTGGAGGAGGTGATTCAAGTCTTAAATAAACGATTTTTTGGTGCCTGATTAGAAGAAAACTAACCCCTGTGTGGACCTGTTGATGCTCTCCAAATGCTTCAGAGGCTCTTGGGTTGGGGGGAAATAATCATAGTTGATTTGACTCCAGGAAGGCACATGCTGGCTCAGGATGGAGGACACTCACTGTGTGAACTGCCCACAGCTGTTACTGGCTGCCCTTCGAGGCCCTGAATTCCCTGACCCGGGAGTTATTCAAACTCAGTGGGGCTACTACTTGGAAAATAATTGTACATGGAGTCAGGAACCATGAGGGCATCCTGGTAAGCACCTCTTACTTCCCCTTCCACCAGAGAGATCTGTGATAACAGACTGCATTATAACCCCTACTCTTCATTTCGTGGCTCCTATTCCCTGGCTCAGGGGTCTCATCTGTGACTTCACCCATCCCACCACATGAAGAAGATAAGCTATCAGATATGTCCCATGCTATGGCTTTAACGTGCTCCCAAATTTTCGTGTCTTGGAAACTTGGTCCCCAGCGTAGTGGTGTTGAGAGGTGGGATCTTTGGCTGTGTCCTCACGAACAGATAATCCATTCATGGATTAATTGATTGATGAATCAAAGGGTGATTGAGGGACTGGCTGTGTCATAGAAGCAAGCTCTCTCTGGCATGCTTTCTCTGTCTCACCACATGACGCCTTCTGCCATGCTACGGCCTAGCAGGAGGCCCTCAACCAGATGCTGAGTGGATGCTGGCACCGTGCTCTCAGATTTCCCAGTCTCCAGAACTGTGAGCTACATAAAGCTCTATTCTTTATAAATTACCCAGGCTCAGATATTTTATTATAGTAACTGAAAATAAATGAAGACACACAACCAGAACTTAGGAGTAATCAAGCCTGACACAAATGCTCAGAAAGTTCCCTTGGGCTATGATCATTTTCTTTTCACGCATGGCAATATGATAAATAATGAAGACTGACAGGCTTAGAGATCTGTGGGGTTAAGACGGGAAAAGCTTCAGTAACTCTCACTGTAGCTCTTGAGGAGCTAGAGATGGTTATAAAATGAGAAGTAACCATGGTGATCCTAAGAGATGACCAACCTCACACATGCCAGCCCAGATGGGCAGATGCTCTGAAGACAGGGCATCTCAACCCTGCCATTTCCTCATCACACCTGTCAGTTTCCACCTTCCTGTGTCATAAACGTAAGGAATTCCTGTTGGCAGGAACCAGGTCTGGTGCATCATCGTTAATCCTTCTAACTGCCAAGCTCCCCTCCAGAGTGTCATGGTCCACTCACTTCTCTTTCAAGTCTTGTATCCATGCAGTAAGACATAACCCTGACCACTATATTTAAAATTCCACCCTTACCACCTCCTTCTTATTTATTCCACCTAGGATAAATTAGCCTACCCCTTTTTGTTATTATTTATCAACCCACTTTCCCCAGTAAAATATAAATCCTGAGAGATCAGGACCCAGTCTGTTGTGTTCACCTGGGCATCCTCAGAGGCTGAACAGTGCCTGGCATGAGGTATAATTTTTGACACACTAATAAATGGCAGGCTGGCAGGGTTGCTGTACGGCTGGAATGGGGGAAGCTCCATGCAGGGGCTCCCCCTCCCCTCCTCTGCAGGGAAATAAGAGGCACGCTACGGCAAGGCCCATTCCTCTGGCTGCACCCTGGACAACCACTCGACTTTCTGCTTGTGAGGATGAAGGCTGAAATTCAACTCCACAGATGACTAATGTCCCAACAACTGTTGGTAATAAGCCACCCTTATAGTCGCCCACATTCTCCACCAGGATCCCAAGGTTCCTGGGATACACACATCTATTTAGAGAAAACTCACCCCTAAAAGTTAAGGGCTTAAGGACCAATAAGGAATAAAGAACCCATGTGAAAAGTAACCCTTGGTTTGCTCTTGAAACTAGTTTCATAAAGAAACCATTTTAAATATACATTTGGGAATTTCACTAGTGATTCCTTTTACACTGATGATCTGTGAGAAGAGACTGGGTTTGCTTAGATTTTTAATAAAAAGGATATATTGATCTAATTACATTGTATCAGGTTCTTTAATATCCTCAATCTGTTCTTTCTGATGAAATATTGCACTTCTATGCGAATTTCCTATTGTTGCTTCAGCATCTCATTCCAAGCCCAGGGAACAGGGGTCTGGAACTCAACTCATAAATCAATCAGAAACAATATTTCAGTGGCAGGCACAACACCCACCCAGCCTTGCCAGGCCCTGAAATCTGATTGTAAGTCCAGTGTCTCAGCATTTGCAGACCTGCAGGGCTGTGCCAAGGTTTCCAGGCACGGTAATTAGTCATGACCATCTGAAGTTAGACAGAAGGGTTTTGAAATTATACACATTCCTGTGTTAGAGTTTCACCAAATGAAGACTTGCTTTTCCTTGGGGAGAAAGGCAAAGATCAGGAGAAAAGCCAATCAGATTCGATTTGCATAATTTGGCAGAAAGTGCAACTGGACAAACAGCAGCTATTCAGGGGCCTCTGTTCTGGGGAAATGAATGATATTTATGGCCTAATAAACTCTGTGCTCCACAAGGAGAGGGGCTATAAGAGAGCTCGGGCAGAGCTGTAAATTGGGTGAAGAAGCAGGAAGTCAGGCATAAATACGGCCCAGTCAGTTTTCACTGTGGGAAATGCGAGGTGGCTTAGTGTTCCCAGCAGAGACTGGATTTAGGTGGTAGAACTCCAAGCAGTGCTTAAATTTGCAGCTCTCGTTCTGCTTTTGGAACAGGACATCATAAAACCTGGAGTCACGCTTACCTGAGAACCACAAAGTCCCTGGAAGGATGGGGGGCCATGCTGTTCACCACATACTGATAGACTTCTGTCTGCCTGTCCAGCGTTTCCACCACCTTCCACTGCAGGAAGTCCTCGTCCCACAGGTGGCGCTCTCTCAGCACGCGGTTCAGCACCACTGAGGGGGGCGCCTCCACCTCCACAGACGCCTTCCACAGCTTCAGGGGGTTCCCGTCCCCCACCTGGGGAAAGACACCAGTGGAGACTGAAGAGGTCAGGGTCCCACAAAAACCTGCCCCACTTCTCCTGGGGTTTAAAAACAATCTCTCATCATGTCAATGGACAGCAAGGCTACACACCTCTCACTTTAAAATGTAAATATTTTAATCTTTATGCTTAAGAATGATAATGACAATCAAAGAATAATTGTCAACATTCGCGGTGCCTACTGTGTGCCAGGCACTGTTCTAAGCACATTTGACTTGTTAACAGCTCCCTTCTGACTGTGGTTCTCTTAGAATGTCCAGTTTTCTAGATGGGAAAATAGAGGCAGTGACTTGCCCAACATTACACAGCTCTGGCAGAGATAGGATTGGGATCCAGAAGTTGGTACCATGGTCTGGACTCCTGACTGCACGCAGCAGGGCTGCTTAGCAGTCTCTAGACAGAGTCTTTGAACAGTAAATGTCTTAACTGTTCACCTGTGTGCTGAGTCCTATGGATGAGCAGCGATTTGTAAGCAAAAACAAATCCCCAGTTGTTAGATGTGGCTAATGGGAGATTACCTTTTTGAAAGCGAGGTCTGTGTTGTCGGGGCTGGAGCACGTGACCCATCCTTTGAACTTCTCCTTGGCTTCTTTCTGGAGGCCCTGGACAAGATGCTCCAGGTAAGTGTGGAAAGTTGCTCCACTCTCCTCCAGCTGCATCCCCAAGTCTTCCAGGGTGGGTGCGTGGATCTCAGCCTCCGCATAGGAGTTGCGAGACTGGGCCACCAACTCATGTGGGACCTGAAGCAAGGGGTACACAGAGGAGCAACACACTGAGGTAAGGGAAATGCTGAGACTAATGGTTAGAGGAAGCAAAGTCATTTCATCAACAACCGAGGTCTGAGCAATGGGCCAAGGGTCACATGGCTAGATGTTTTTCTAAGATCACTGCCAAGTCTGGGAGGGGCCTTCCTGAAGTTAGGAAATACAGATATGTTTCTGAGGTTATATTTATTATTCAGAACACTTCTATGACTTCCCAATCATTCTTTCCATTTTCCTTTTCTTTTCCTTTTCTTTTATTTTTATTCTGTTTGTCAAAATGTGAGCTCCAACAATTCTACTCTGAACAGACTTAACGCAATAGACTTGTGAAGGAAACATCAAAAACGACTTAGAAATAGCTTTACCTTTTTAGCACATTCTTCCCATTGAAAAATGCCAATTTTACTACAGAAAATATGCCAGAAGTCTTGTTCACTTAACTTCTTTGGCATATCTGTGGCTTTACTCCTAGGCTGTCATTACTCCCCCCC